AAAATTGACTTTTTTTACACAGTCGACTTATATTTTGGTTGGTTAATTTTTTACGTTGTTGATTTATTTATACAGTTGATTTATTTGTTTTATGTTTGTCGACTTAATATTCCGTTTCGTCGACTTAAGTTAAACTGTTAACTTATATTTCGATTGATTGATTTTTTACTTTGTCGACTTGTTTAACCATTGACTTATTTTTTTATTTTGTCGACTTAATATTCAGTTTCATCGACTTATTTTAAATTGTTGACATATATTATCGTTTGCTTGATTTTTTACTTTGCCGACTTATTTAACCATTGACTTAATTTTCATTTTTGTCGACTTAATTTTTAGTTTCGTCGAATTATTTTAAACTGTTGACTTATATTTCGTTTGATTGACATTTTAAATTATAGACTTATTTAAACCACTGACTTATTTTTTGTAATTCGTCGACTTAAATATTTTTTTCATCGATTTATTTTAAACTATCGATTTATATTTTGGTTGATCGACTTTTTACTTTGTCGACTTATTTAAACCATTGACTTAATTTTTATGTTCATCGACTTGATATAGTTTTATATAAAATAATTAAATTGTAAATTGTAAAATTAATTAAAATCAATTCCTAATTTTATTTCATAAAAAAATATCAATTGGTAATTTTATTTAAATTAATATATTGTAATTTAAATTAATTATTATCTAAAATCTTTACAACATCAATTGAAACCCTAGGGTTTGTCATCTTCTTCCTTCTGCGCCGACTTATGTCATCTTTACGACCTTAATACTTTTAACCAAAACAAAAAAAAATTACAGAGATGTGTCAAGTAGATGATGATGATCAGATCAAAAAAAAAAAAAAATGATGATGATTCTAATAAGTCTTACTATGACTTGTTTAATTTTTCTCATTTTTTTAATAGTGGCATATGTTTGTTGGATATATAGCATATCACGTAAGATTTGAATATGTGATATGCCTTTGCGTTTGCATATTTACTATAATTAACTTGAACTTTATAAATAATTAACTTGTGTTTATTCGTTATATTATAGATTGATGATATAATCAAATGCGATGGTGGCATTGTTTGAACTTTATAAATAATTAACTTGTGTTTATTCGTTATATTATAGATTGATGATATGTTAGTTTTAAATATTATAAATCAAATTTTAAATAAAAGTTAAGAAAATCAAATCATTTTTGTTTTCTAACATAATCTTATTAAATAAAGATAGAATCACCATTTTAACTCTTAAAATATGGTATTTTTCAAAATGTAACAAATTTGGTATAAATTTCAAATTTCCAATAAAATTTAGGGTATATAAGCTAATGTCAGTTGTACACTAAAAAAAACCATTTAAATTTACACTCTAGTCCTTTCATAGAAATCAAATTAATAGAGAGGTCAGCGAATTTTTTAGAGCTTTGTGTGGGGCTTCTTTCTACTTGTGATGGGCAAATGTATCAGACTCGTTTCCTGTTTTCAGTAATAATTGGATAAGTCCTTCCTTAGTTATAGGATCAGTAATCGATCAATCGAAACCTTTTTTTTTTCTATCTAAAAACATCAAAGTCAAAATAATGATGTGAAACCCCCCCCTCCTCAAGATAATTTGTAAAACAAAGTTTGGACCTATAAAAATGAGTTTAAAACAACTGACTCCAGATATTAACAAGAAACAACCTATAAGTATATGATCTTCATCTTCCACGATATTTTCATCTCATTATCTTCCAAGGCAGTTTTCCATGAGATTTTCATATTATCATCGAAGACAGTGAAGACAACAATCTCATCATCCGGTTTGTTGGGGACCCACACCTTAACCTCCACAAAGAGATTCATGCAACAAAGAGAGTCTACTGAGATAACAATCACAAATTCAGAGGAAAGACTCATAGTGTTTTGAACTCTTCCTAGGAAAAATCAAAACTCTGTATGAAGAGTTAGGAGAGTATAAACCATAATGCAGCAATCCAATACATATATTCCTCCGGACATATATCTATTTGCTATACTTTGCATGTATGTACTAGTTAATGTCAGCATTAATAGCTCTATAACATCTATGAATGTACCCATAGATCTGAACACGTGCCATTTCTTACTCTCATACATGCCATTTAGTGTATACATTTTACTCTCGTATGTTAGTATACCATTTCTTACTCTCGTAGGCTAACACGCTTAACAATTACATCGCCAGTCGTCGCATGTGTTTTTCCATTTTTGAAACGATCATATGCCAATTGCAAAATGTCGAGTTTAATATTATTGTATTTTCATATATATATGTCACCATAGAAATGGTCTATGTGAATGAAACGTAGATATAATCACCGATGTATGTTTTTTCATAGCCATATACATAAAAAACGTAATGTATAAAAGAAAGTTAGAGTATTTGAAAAAAATAAGTGCACAACCTTTGCTCTTTCAATTTGTTGCTTCCATTATTTTTACATTTGGTTATTTTGTTAACATAGAATACAAGTATTTTTTACGTTTCTTTACGATTCAGATTCAAATTGAGTTTTTTTCATTGTATAAGATTTTATTACGAATATACGATATATTAACTCTTTAATTGTAAAATCAATTGCAAGCGAACAGTCTAACTCTAAATCTATTGTTCATCGATTATGTCAACGAAGAAGCCAATGTGTACCAAACCTATTAAAAACCGTGAAAAAATATCAATGAATCGGAGGTATTTACACTATTTTTTTCAGTTGGCCGAATCGTTTCTTTTCCTTTGCTAAAATTAATGAAGAAAATACAAATGAAGAATAGTATACATAAGTTTTTTATAAAACACATTATCCAATAACTTTTTTTTCAATTTCAAATTGAGTAATTATTTTGATATTTCCCTCAAATTATTTACTCCAATTTTTTTAAAAAGTTACCAAGCTAAATTAAAGCTGATTTTGTTTCGGTTTAGTCTCCTTTGTCCCGGTTTAGGCCCATCTATAATAAAGTCTCGCATTTCTCTTCCTATTAAAGCCCCCAAAACCCATAAAAGAATCCATATAAAACTAAGAATATATACGAAGAAAGAGCCCATTCGGCCCACTTCGAAAGGTGGAAAAAAAATCCCAAATTTTGTTAAATCAAACAAAAAAAACCTCGTATGATTTTGAAATTTACACTGAAATAATGTACCTTTTTGTTATAACGCATTTTAAAAATAATTAATTTCATCTGAACAATAACTAATTATCTCATTAAAATATTTCACGACAACTCCTATAAATATAGTTATTATTTTTTTCAACATTATTAGAAAGGAGATATAGAAATTAATTAAAGGCAACCCTAATTATTATATATATTCATCTCCGGTGAAAAACCTCCGCTGGATATATAACCTCCGCCGCAGCTACCGCCGTTGAACCAACAGCCACCGAAAAATCGGCACCGCTCTCTTCTTCATCCTCATGCTGATCTCCTCCTTGTTGATGCGGTGGCATTTGCTGCAACGAATGTTCTAAGTTAGCCGGAGCCATGACGTCATAGCTGACGGCTGCTGTCTCCGACGCGGCGGTGAAGCTGTTCATGGCTGCTCCGGCGAGAGTAGTGGAGGCGGAGGAGTTGTTGGAATATTCTGGTTGTTGCATAACGACTAA